ATGAAACCACTGCCTTACAAGCAAGTGGAGGCAAGGGCAATCTGGGTCCAAATCTGAGCTCACTGTGCCTGGGTAGACTTTCCAAACTGTTGGTGGGGCTGAGGGAAGCCAAGGAGCCCCAAACCTCTTAGTTGCGTTCACCAGGAATTTAGCCACTTTAACCAAGAGGGGGTGATAAGAAACCCGGGAGGCGTGCCCCTCCTGTTGATATATGACAAACCTCGATTGACAGCTGCAGCCCCATCCTCTTGGCAGCATCCACCCACAGTGAAGCTTCTATCAAATTGAGCTGTAAAGAGTAAAAGGGAGTCGGTTGTGTCTTAAACACCACAAATTCTCTTACCAAGTTCTTGGTTCTTACCAAATGTTAGTAGAATTTCTTGATATTTCATTTCCTATATACTCTTTGGACACTTTCAGACCTCAAATGGCAAGGTTTTTATACATTTTTTCCCAGTTTTACTAGAAAATGAGTTTGCAGAGCCCCACATCTACCATCCAGAAGTGGAACTACATGTAGTCATTTAACAATAGTTTAGCATTTTCTGTCATCTCATTCTGGAGAATCATAGATGTGGCAGAAATACATATTCCTGAAGAAAAAAATATGTCTCCCTCACAGGTACTGTGATTTCAATAGGGTGTGGGATAAGTACATGACAACATGCATGAGATAGATACTCTGTTCTCTATAGCTCTGTGCTTTTGAGTTAGAGAACATAAAAGATATATTGATGGTTATTACTTTTAACATGTCACAATCTAGTTGTAGCATTTAAGATTAAATTTGGTTGTGAGTAAAACAGTAAAATTGCCCCAAATTAAAGTGAATAAAAGATAATAAAAGTTCATTTCTGTATCATATATTATGGATGTAAGCCTGATATTGTGGCCTTGCTCCAAACCAATCATGAATTTTACCATTCTGGCATCAGAATGGAATGAACACTCAGACTTAAACAGAACTTGGAAGAATAGTAAATAATTCTGGATACCCTTCAACCAGATTTCTCAAATATTAATATATTAAGCCAGTGTGTTTTAAGAGGTTTCCAGAATTGCCAAAATATTCACTTATATCCTACTTGCCATAAGTTGTGTCACATGACAACACCTTGGAGAAATAACTGCAGTCCTTATTCTAGATAGTCATAGCCAACTGTTAATAAAAATTACTGGTTCTATAATCATGAAAGCAGGGTAGAGTGGATATGGGGGCCTAATAAACAACAGATCCTGACCCACTGAGGAATCCATGGAGATGGTTTCACTTTGATCAATTACAAATGAAGACAATGAATCCCTAGAGACCACAACTTGTGCAGAAGACACATGGAAATGGAACGGGATTCTGGAAATTAAGACACATAGGTCCATTATCCTTCATACCCCAAGCTGGATGATCAGAATACCTTATAAAAGGATGACAGAAATCTTGTGTCTACTTTTTCTTCTTTTCTGGGGAGTCTATGAACATTCAAGATAACATCCATCATTGACTATTCTAAAACAAGTTTCTTCACAATGCTGCTCAGAAACACCATGACAAATTTGAATTGGAGCAATATCTCCAAAAATGGGACACAGATTAATGTATCATTTCAGCCAGGCCTTAATAGGAGATAAACTTCTCAGCTATCACCATACATAAAACATTATAATTCAATAAAATGCCAAATGCAAAAAGAGCAGATCATAGAAATTTAAGTTGAGAAAAATCAGAGTGAACTTCTGACCTTATGATGACATTTTCAACTCTGAAACTATTAAAATAATTCTAACAAAAGCAGCATCTTTTTTTCCATACCTGTAACTGCCATGTGTACGCACAGCAGCCAGATTTTTTGGTCTTTAATGCTTTTTTCCTCTAAAAGGAACCAGGACTCCCTAAGAGGGTATTAAATCATGAGTTGATTCCATGACTCAGGACAAGAGGCATGGGGGACATGAACCAACAAACAAGATCAGTCTAAAATATCTTCTTATGGCCTGAAAACAATATTCCTTTAAAACATCAAAAGAAAAAAATAAGAAGTAAAAAAAAAAAAAAAGTAAATGGATTCTTACTGGCCACATTATGTCAATTTGAGCATAAATAATCATAATTACTACAGGTGCTCCTCAACCTATGGTGGGGTTATATCCAAATAAACCCATCATAAATAGAAAACATCATACACCAAATGTGTATTTATGACCTACAATATTTTCAATTTAACAATGGGTTTATCTAGATATAGCCCCATTTTAAGTCAAGGAGCATACTCTATGTCTTAGTCCATTTTGTGTTGCTATAAAGGAATATCTGAGGTTGGGTAATTAATAAAGAAAGAGGTTTATTTGGCTCACTGTTCTGTAGGATTTACAGGAATCATGGTGCAACATCTGCTTCTGGTAAGGGCCTCAGGCTGCTTCTACTCGTGGCAGATGAAAAGGGGCAGTGTATGCAGACATCACATGGCAAGAGAGGAAGCAAGAGGGTGAGGAAGGAGGTGCCAGGCTATTTTGAACAACCAGCTCTCACAGGAACTAACAGAGTGATAACTCACCCCCAATCCAGAGAGGATATTAATTTATTCATGAGGGATCTTCTCCCATGACCCAAACATCTCCCATTAGGCCCCACCTCCAAATTGGGATCAAACTTCAATATGAGATTTGGAGGGGACAAATATCTAAACTATAGCAGCATATCACTTTTGTACTATTATAAAGCTGAAAATTAGAAGTCAAACCATTTTAAGTTGGGGATTACAGGCGTGAGCCACCGTGCCCGGCCATGATTTTTAAATTTGTACATACTTGGCTTGTAACTTTAACAAATATATTAAAGTGTTTTATTATGTTTGCAAAGGGACTCTGACTTCCAACGTAGTACTGCCAAGATGGCATGATGATAGAGTTTCATTGAAAGGCTGCCAGGGATTTCTTTTATGACAATTCTTAATGATACTGCCGGGATGTGCAATGACCCATAAAGGAGTTGTGCTGGGTTAATACCTAGGGAATCTTTTGATTTCAAAGAAAAAAGTTCAAGAGAATGAATAGAAAAAAGAAACTGGAAATAAAAAATAGGAACATAAGATTTGAAAGCCAAGTTTTATATAATCTTGTTTTATAAGTTGTATATCATTGCAATATCAATACCTGAAAAACACTTGGAAAACTACAACTTATGATTATAGATGCAATTAAGTGGTTAAAGATAGAATTAAGTAGTCTATCAAAAGAATAATCATCTGACCAGGGTATACTCATAGAAAGAAGAAAGCTATCAATATAAATTATCGCTTTATAGATTTTTTAATACAATGGAATAAAATCACAAAGGATAATTCTTAATCTTAAAAAAAATTAATGTAATTCATGATGCCACAATGGTATCATGTTTTGTTTTGGGTGTTTTCTGAGACGAAGTCTCACTCTGTCGCCCAGGCTAGAGTGCAGTGGCGCAATCTCAGCTCACTGCAACCTTCACCTTCTGAGTTTGGGTGATTCTCCTGCCTCAGCCTCCCAAGTAGCTGGGATTACATGCATGTGCCACTATGTCCAGGTAATTTTTTTATTTTTAGGAGAGAAGGAGTTTTGCCATATCGGCCAGGTTAGTCTCGAACTCCTGACCTCAGGTGATCTGCCCACCTGGGCCTTCCAAAGTGGTGGGATTACAGGTGTGAGCCACTGCTCCCAGCCCAATGGTATCATGTTTTACAGCTTGATTTAAAGGGTTTTTTATTTTTCAAAGTTTATCAATAGTTCATGTACCAGCCATGGGATAGGTGCTGGTGATAAATGCTGAACAAAAAAAAAGGTTCCAGACAATCTTGGCTCCCTGCATAATCCGAAGGGTGCCAGTTTTGTACTGAGTACAGTGTCAGCCATATCACACAAGTTGAATTATGTTGACACTTTAATGGCATTCATTTCTCAATAGTCTATTTCAAATTTCATTTTGTATTCAATCCAGGGCTTAAATACACATGACTATAAATTTTCAGAGATGACAATATCTCTCCATAGATTACTTACCCACTACAAACCAAATCTTTACAATGGACTTATGGCAGTTACCAGCTTACCCAAATGATCATCCCTAGTTTCACTAATGCAAGGACCTGTACGTAAATGTTTTCTGACAGTACAATATGACATACAAATAACCTACAAAGTATTCTTCCCCAAAATGTTTAATCTAGACCTAAGAAAGCCTCTGGACTTACATTCCCTTGTACAGAAAATACAACCAAGAACAAGGTTAAATGACACTATAAAGAAAGAAATCAAAACACGTAGCCGACAACATTTTTGACCTACTCAAATCAATGTATTTTGTTTTAAATGAGGAGAAATGTTCTAGACCAGTGGCTCTCTAACTCTGGTTGGTATCACAGTCACAAAACCTGGAGAAATAATAAAAAACAGAGGCCCAGGCTTATAAGCTAGGGCTACACTTCTCTAGGTTTACTAAGTTCCACAGGTGATTCTGATACCCACCATAATTTGAGAGCATACCTTCATGGGGTTTCCACGCTACAATACACTAAAGAGAGATAACCAAATGCAATGCAGAATCTGCAATGGATTCTCCTTAGAAAATGAATAGCTGTAAAAGATGGTTTGCCAGTCAATGAAGAAATCTGAAGATGGAATGATATTATAGAATTATGAATATTTTCCTTAAGGGTAATTATGGTACTATGGTTATATGATATTGTCTTTATGTTTGGGTAACACACATGCTGATGTAACAAGTGGTAAAGTGTCATGATGTCTAAAACTTATTCTCAATGGTCTAAAACTTATTCTCAATGGTACAACAAATATACAAAAAATAAATGTGGCAAATTGTTAACAATTTTGAATCTAGGTGGGGGGGTATGGGTGTATATTTTACTATTCTTTCCAAACCCGCAACAATTATCAACTAGGTTCACCATATTTTATGGGCAGGATTTGTGGTATCCCCAATTACACTAGTAACATCAAAAAACACTGGTCACAGATCACCGTAACACATATAACAATAAAAAAGTTTGAAATATTATGAAAACTACCAAAGTGTGACACAAAGACATGAAATGTGCACATGCTGTTTGGAAAATGGTGCTGATAGACTTATTCACTGCAAGGTTGCTGCAGACCTTCAATGTACATAAAATACAGTAACTGCAATGCACAGTTAAGCAAGTATGCCTGTATCCACTAAAATATTTCATGGGCAGTAAACTGTGAACATGGCAGCTACTCTACATTCCTCACATCAATAACTTTCTCACCAAAATTACCTTCTTTGAACTCTTAGGTCATTTAGTGTGGCTATAAAACATCCCACATTCCTTACACTCAAAGGAGTTCTCAGCAGTATGAATACTCCGATGTTGAGCAAATCCCAGGCCATAGTGAAAGTTCATCACACATTCTTTTATGTTCACAGGATTTCTCATCAATATGAATTCTCTGGTGTTGGGCAAATTTTTCATACACAGTGAAGGCTTATCTACACTCCTTATATTCATAAAACTTCTATTATGAATTTTTTGATGTTGAGTAAGCAGATCATTCACAGTAAGGGTTTGCTCACATTCTTTACATTCATAGGGTTTCATGCCAGTATGAATTCTGTGATGTGCAGAAAGGACTGAACTAAGTCTAAAGGTCTTCCCACATCCTTTACATTCACAGGGTCGCTCACCAGTATGAATTTTAACATGTTGAACAAGAGCTACAAGTAAAGGTCTTTCCACATTCTTTACATTCATATGGTTCATACTAGTATGAATTCTTTGATGTGCAGTAAAGACTAAGCTAAATCCAAAAGTTTTCCACATTCTTTACACTCACAGGGTTTCTCAGCAGTATGGATTCTCAGATGTACAGTAAGTTCATAATTACTGCTAAAGGCCTTTTCACATTCATTACATTCATAGTTTCTCATCAGTATGAATTTTAATATGTTTCATAGGTTCGAACTATGACTAAAGGCTTTCCCACATTCTTCACATTGATATGGTTTCTTACCAGTATGAATTCTCTGATGTACTCTAAGGTTTCTACCACTGGTAATGCATTTTCCACATCCTTGACATTCATAAGGGTTCTCACGAATATGAAATCTATGATGTCCACGAAATTGGTAATTATATTGAAAGGCCTTCCCACATTCCTTACATTCAAAGGTTTTCACCCAAGTATGAATTTTCTGATGTTCAATAAGTTGCTACTGATGTCTGAAGGCTGTCCCACATTTCTTACATTCAAAGGGTTTCTCACCTGTACAAGTTTTTGATGCAGAGAAAGTTGTAGGTGAAGTCTAAAAGCCTTCCCACACTCCTTACATTCATAGGGTTTCTCACCATTATAAACACTCCGAGGTTGAACAAGGTTTGAGCCATGATTAAAGGCCTTCCCACACTCCTTACATTTAAATGGCTTCTCACCAGTATGAATGATCTGATGTCCAGCAAGCTGTGTCAGAAGACTAAAGGCCTTTCCACATTCTTTACATTCAAAGGGTTTTTCACCAGTATGAATTTGGTAATGTTCAATAAGCTGGTAATGATATCTAAAGGTCTTCCTACACTCCTTACATACAAAGGGTTTCTCACTGGAATGAATTTTCTGATGCTGAATAAGGTTTGAACCACGATTAAAGACTTTCCCACACTCCTTACATTCATATGGTTTTACACCAGCATGAATACTCTGATGTTGAACAAGGTTCGAGACACGATTAAAGGACTTCCCACATTCTTTACATTCAAATGGCTTCTCACCTGTGTGAATGTTCTTATGGCGATTAAGCTGGGTGTGAAGACTGAAGGCCTTGCCACATTCCTTACATTCAAAGGGCTTCTCACCAGTATGAAATTTCTGATGTCGAATAAGGTGCATATGAAGTCGAAAGGCTTTCCCACATTCCTTACATTCAAAGGGTTTCTTTCCAGTATGAATACTTCGATGTTGATTAAGATTTGAACCACGACAGAAGAATTTCCCACATTCCTTACATTCAAAGGGTTTCTCACCTGTATGAGTTTTCTCATGCTGAGAAAGTTGTAGGTGAAGCCTAAAAGTCTTCCCACACTCCTTACATTCATAGGGCTTCTCACCAGTATGAATACTCTGATGTTGAACAAGATTCGAGCCACGATTGAAGGCCTTCCCACAGTCTTTACATTCAAATGGTTTCTCACCACTATGAATGTTCTTATGTCGAGCAAGCTGTGTCAGAAGACTAAAGGCCTTCCCACATTCTTTACATTCAAAGGGCTTCCCACCAGTATGAATTTGGCAATGTTGAATAAGTTGGTAATGATATCTAAAGGCCATCTCACATTCCCTACATACAAAGGGTTTCTCATTGGAATGAATTTTTTGATGCTGAATAAGATTTGCACCACGATTAAAGCCTTTCCCACACTCCTTACATTGATATGGTTTTACACCAGCATGAATACTCTGATGTTGAATAAGGTTTGAACTACGATTAAAGGACTTCCCACATTCTTTACATTCAAATGGTTTTTCACCTGTGTGAATGTTCTTATGGCGATTAAGCTGATTGAGAAGACTAAAAGCCTTCCCGCATTCCCTACATTCAAAGGGCTTCTCACCAATATGAATCTTCTGATGTCGAACAAGCTTTGTCAGAAGAGTAAAGGCCTTTCTGCATTCTTTACATTCAAAGGGTTTCTCGCCAGTATGAATTCGGCAATGTTCAATAAGTTGGTAATGATATCGAAAGGTCATCCCACATTCCCTACATACAAAGGGTTTCTCATTGGAATGAATTTTTTGATGCTGAATAAGATTTGAACCACGATTAAAGGCTTTCCCACACTCTTTACATTGATGTGGTTTTACACCAGCATGAATACTTTGATGCTGAGTAAGGTTTGAGCTACGATTAAAGGACTTCCCACATTCCTTACATTCAAACAGTTTCTCACCTGTGTGAATGTTCTTATGGCGATTAAGCTGGGTGGAAAGGCTAAAGGCTTTTCCACATTCCTTACATTCAAAAGGTTTCTCACCAGTATGAAATTTCTGATGTTGAGTAAGTTGTATGTGAAGTTGAAAGGCTTTCCCACATTCTTTGCATTTATAGGTTTTCTCTCCAGTATGAATACTCTGATGCTGAATAAGATTTGAACCACGACTAAAGTGTTTCCCATATTCCTTACATTCATAGGGTTTATGTGTATTATAAATAAGAGAAGCATAAGTAGGCATTTCTTCATAGCTGATGATCTTCTGATTGATATATCCTTCTTGATGTCCCTGTAGTCCCTCAAATCTACTTCTATATTCTGAGTCATTTCTAAAATAAAAGGCCTCAAGGCCAAGTGTTTTACTTATTTGCTTTATAACATGTTTGGGTAAATTTATTTCAAAAATATCATTTTCTGGAGATATTTTTTCAGGTCCATGTTTTGACTCCAAATCTGAAAGAAATGAAGAAGGCAAACATATTTTATTTTCCTATAACACACATGCATACCAAATCCATTAAAAAAATGGCCAAAGTATAAAATATAATACTTTCAGGGAAGGGATCTGAAAAAGAAAAAGGGTGCCAATAATGAAGAAAGTTTATGTAAGATGGTGGTATACATAAGGGAACAGGTTAACTTTGTCAAATTTAAGTGTGAATCAAAACCATTTGGTGAACTTAATAAAGATATTGATATTCAAGCAACTCAGATGTACAGAATCAGAATTTTTAGTGAAAAAAACTGTTTTTTGTTTGTTTGTTTTTTGGGATGAAGTTTCACTCTTATCTCCCAGGCTGCAGTGCAATGGCACAATCTTGGCTCGCTGCAACCTCCACCTCCTGGGTTCAAGTGATTCTCTTGCCTCAGCCTCCAGAGTAGCTGGGATTATAAGTGTGCCACCACGCCTGGCTAATTTTTGTATTTTTAGTAGAGATGGGGTTTCGCAATGTTGGCCAGGCTGGTCTGGAACGCCTAACATCAGGTGGGTGGCCTCCCAAAGTGCTGGGATTATAGGTGTGAGCCATTGAGCCCAGCCTGTATTATTATTATTATTATTTTTAAGAGACAGGGTCTCTGTCTGTTGCACAGGCTATAGTGCAATGGCATGATCATAGCTCACTGCTATGGGACTATACTAAACTAAAAAGCTTCTGCACAGCAAAGGAAACTATATACAGAGTGAATAGACAAACGAGAGAAATCATCTCCAAGCTATTTCTCTGACAAAGGACTAATATATAGAATATACAAGAAAATGAAATAACAGCAAAAAAAAAACTCCAATTAAAAAAGTGGGCAAATTATATGAATAGACATTACTCAAAAGAAGACATACAAACAGCCAAGAGAATATGATAAAATGCTTAACACCACTATTCATCAGGGAGAAATGCAAATCAAAACCACAATGAAATATCATCTTACCCCAGTCAGAATGGCTATAATTTAAAAGACAAAAAATAACATACCTGAGAGGATGAGGGAAAAAGGGAACTCTTATATACTGTTGGTGGGATATAAATTAGTACAATCACTATGGAAAACAGCACGCAGATCTCTCAAAAAAACTAAAAATAGAACTACCATATGATCCAACAATCCCACTACTGGGTATTGATCCATAGGAAGAGAAATCAGTATATCAAAATGATACCTGCACTTGTATGATTGTAGCATTATTCACAATACCAAAGGTATGGAATCAACCTAAGTGTCGCCCAACAGACAAACAGATAAAGAAAATGTGATATATACACAATGGAATACTATTCAGACTTTTAAAAAATGAAATCATGTCATTTACAGCAACATGGAGGGAATCGGAGGTCAGAAAGACAATATCAGACCAGGTGCAGTGGCTCACGCCTGTAATCCCAGCAATTTGGGAGGCCGAGATGGGTGGATCACCTGAGGTCAGGAGTTTGAGACCAGCCTGGCTAAGGTGGTGAAACCCTGTCTCTATTAAAAATACAAAAATTAGCCAGGCATGCTGGCAGGTGCCTGTAATCCCAGTTACTCAGGAGGCTGAGGCAGGAGAATTGCTTGAACCCGGGAGGCAGAGGTTGCAGTGGGCCAAGATTGCACCACTGCATTCCAGCCTGGGCGACAAGAGCGAGGCTCTGTCTCAAAAAAAAAAAAAGAAAGAAAGACAAATATCATATGTTCTCATTCATATCTGGAGGCTGAAAAAAGATCTCACAGAGGTAGAGAACAGAATGATAGAAACCAGAGGTTGGGAAGGGTGTGTGGTGAGGGGTGGGGGATGAAGAGGAGTTGGTTAATGTTACAAACATATAGGTAAATAGAAGGAATGACTTCTAATGTTCATTAGCAGAGTAGAGTGACTCTAATTAACAATAATGTATTGTATATTTCAAAATAGCTAGAAGAAGACTTGAAATGTTCCTATCACAAAAAAATGATAAACACTCCTCTGGTGGATTTGATGGATACCTCAAATACCCTGACACTTGCTCATGACACATTCTATACATATAACAAAACATAATGTGTATCCCATAAATATGTACAAATATTGGGTATCAATTAAAAATGAATAAATAACTCTTGAAGAACTTCCCACAATCCTCACAATGACAGTCAAAAACCCTGTATGATACGACTCCAGCCTAACTCTCAGACCTCTCTTCCTGCTGTTCCATCACTTACTTCACCTTCGTGTTACCTGCTCAGTCTGACTAGAATACCCTCACCTGGACACACAACTTGAACCCTTACTTCCCATCTCTATGCAAGCATGCCCACTTCAACACAGGCACCCTGAGCACCCAAGTTCTGCCATTTCACTCCATCACTCCTATTTCCTTGTCCTAATAGTACAATTCTCTGGCATTCCTTATATATTCATTTGCTTACTTGTTTGAGGCATGTCTCACAAACTGCTGGTAAAGTCCATGACAGCAGTGACTTTCTGTCTTGTTCATTACCTGTACATTACAGTACTGACAAAGCTAAGCACATGCCTTCTAGGAATGTACACTCAATACATAATTACTGAATATGAACACATTTCTTAGTGAAAACACATATAGAAATCTAAATGCAATAGCAGAGTTGGAAAGTAGCTGGATCCAAAATACGTGTTAAAAGTTTACACTGGGGACCAGGAGAGTGTACACTGGGGGCCAGAAGCATTGGCTCATGCCTGTAATATCAGCTACTTGGGAGGTTGAGGCAGGAAGACTACTTGAGGCCTAGAGTTCAAGATCAGCCGGGGCAACATAGCAAGATGCTGTCTCTTAAAAAATAATTTTAAAAACTGTTTAAAGTTTACGCTGGGAAAGAAAGAGGAAACTCACTCCATTAAAAGAGGAAGAAAACACCAGAAATTAGGTGATTAGTAAATGATGAAGTTCCTTGGGGATAGCTCCTATAGTGATCTTATTTCCTTGCCAGGTCTTGGGCATTTTTATCCAACGGGAGGACCTTGGGTCATTGAAGAAAGTTTTCCAAACCACATCTTAGGGATGTGACTCCTCTCTGAGCACATGGGCTGTCCAGGACAATGATGGCTTCCCCCTGCCTGCTTCTCTCTCACTTACCTGGATACCATCTGCTTGTTTCTTTCCTTACAACAATCCAGGGCTCTTTCTCTTGCTCTAGTAACGTAATCACATCTGGCTTAGAAACGGAACTTCCTGCTTAAAAGAAATAACACGTGTAGAATTTTTTTTAACATAAAAATTTTTTTTAAACTCTGAGACCTAGTTAAACTTATAATAAATTACAAGCCTACACAATATTGAGAAGAGACTCCAGATAAGAGAGGATTGAGTAAGGGATCGACTATGTTTAAAAAAAAAAAAGGGCCGGGCGCGGTGGCTCACACCTGTAATCCCAGCACTTTGGGAGGCCGGGGCGGGTGGATCACAAGGTCAGGAGATCGAGACCATCCTGGCTAACACCAAATGAAACCCTGTCTCTACTAAAAATACAAAAAATTAGCTGGGCGTGGTGGTGGGCGCCTGTGGTCCCAGCTACTTGGGAGGCTGAGGCAGAAGAATGGCGTGAACCCGGGAGGTGGAGCTTGCAGGGAGCCAAGATCGTGCCACTGCACTCCAGCCTGGGCAACAGAGCAAGACTCCATCTCAAAAAAAAAAAAAAAAAAAGGACTTTCATTTAAACTAATAGAAACTTATCCTTCAAGAGGAGGTATAATTTAGTGGTTGACAGCAGGAAACTTCAAGCCAGATTACCTGGTTGAAATCCTGTCTCTGCCATCCACTAGTACTGTGACATTAAGCAAGTCACTTGAACTCTCTGTCCTTCAGTTTTCCCCTCTAAAACAGGAATGATAACAATACCTGTTTTATAGGATTGATACTAATATTAAATAAGATAATATATGTAAAATACTTCTAACATTCACTGATATGTAGTAGCACAAAGTTAACAATTATTATGTTTATTGTCATTATTTATTTTGCATCCTTAGACACTTACAGCTCATTTTAAGAATTTTCACCCCACAGAAAAGCATACATTTCATGGCCTGAAACTTTCAACTACAAAACAAGTAACAGAATGTTTGTTGACGGAAATGGAATACATTGACTTTAGTGCTAAATGAATTCTGTCAACCCAATATGTAAATCGTTGAGGCTTTTGTTTTGTTTTGTTTTTTGAGACAGTGTCTTGCTCTGTTGCCCAGGCTAAAGTACAGTGGCATGACCACAGCTCTCTGCAGCCTTGACCTCCCAGGCTCAAGCAATCATAGAGGCTCTTTTGATAGAAAAACTCAACACACTCTTCTCCTTATAGGTGGGCCAGAAAAACAAAAACAAACAAGAAAATCTACAGTAATTCTGAGGTCAAACATAATATGAAACCCCGGTTCTTGAACAATATCATTCAACGAATATACAAGATTTCAAATTCAGCCCCATGGTCATGAAGCGAGAGAGGGGATTACAGAGACGACCAGCATCATGGAGGAGGCCACTGTGGAGTAGGCAAGATGCAGGGGCATCAGGGAGGTGCCTATTTTCAACCCAACAAATCTCAATCCATTCCTTTGGGAATAAGAAGAAGGAATCCAACTACCTCTTAAAACACAGCCCTAAAACTCATGGTGAAGAAAGCTGATATTCCAGAGAACAGATGCTAAATTAACTGGGGCAGATGACCTTACCCAGTGAGATCAGGTGGCTGTAGTTCTCCAACATCACGTCCCTGTACAAGGTCCTCTGTTCAGGCTGCAGGCACTCCCACTCCTCCTGAGAGAAGTCAATGGCCACATCCCTGAATGTCACTGATCCCTGAAACCACAAACACATGTATTATGGTGAAATTGAAGAAAATTGTTTCAAGACGAAAGAAGAGGAAGTGAAGGATTAAACTGCAATAAAGGAGCAATATGGAAAATTGCGGAGTGCCTACACATTCTTCAAGAATCCTGCTGCTGGCCTGGCATGGTGGCTCAGGCCTGCTATACCAGCACTTTGGGAGACCAAGATGGAAGGACCGCTTGAGCCCAGGAGTTTGCAAACAGCCTAGGCAACATAACAAGATGCACTCCCCGCAAAAAAAAAAAGAAAGAAAGAAATAAATAAATAAATAACTGTCGTGGTGGCATGTGCGTGTAGTCCCAGCTACTTGGGAAGCTGAAGTGGAAGTATCGCGTGAGCCTGGGAGTTCAATGCTGCAGTGAAGTGTGATGGCATTACTGCACTCCAGCCTGAGCTACTGAGTGAGACCCTGTCTCAAAAAAAAAAAAAAAAAAAAAAACAAAAAGGTAGTTGCATACAACTGAGGAATGCCCTTAATCCTCAAGCTCATTGTGGTATCCAATGATAGCAAAAGGATTTTTTCTTGTCAATAACAACTGATTTTTATAAGCTGCATAAAATTCAAAATAACTAACATATTAGATTTAGTCATTTTTTTCTATTTATACATTTAAGATGGTCAGAGTCTCTAAGCTTTTCCCCAATTCAGAGAATCTGTAATCACCTACCACTCATGCTCTGAATAATCTCCGTTACTGCCCACTGTCCTCACTGATCACTTTCTTAAAAGCCTCATAAAGCAGAACGCCTTGTCACACTTGCAGACTGAGGCCACTCACTACGGAATTCGACCTTAGCTACCTGGAAAGCTCCAGTCTGTGGAGAAGTTTCAAGGTGTTCCCAAGTGTGGTCACATGCAACAATCATCTGTAACATCAAACGCACAAGACCGTGTGTCCCTGTGGGGACCGACTCCTCCACTGTTCCAACATTCTTTCTGACCAAGGACTGAGCTCAGAGCACAGACTGAATAACCAGCTCAAAGAAAACATCAAAGCCAGTGGGAAAACAGAGGTATCAATAGGAAGAGCGCTGACCTTTATTTTTTGGTCACCAACCTTCACTGTAATGGGACAAACTGGGGTGTAAGATCGTGGATGCTGGCCGGGCGCAGTGGCTCACACCAGTAATCCCAGCACTTTGGGAGGCCGAGGCGGGGGGATCACGAGGTCAGGAGATCGAGACCATCCTGGCCAACATGGTGAAACTCCATCTCCACTAAAAATACAAAAAATTAGCCGGGAGTGGTGGCAGGCGCCTGTAGTCCCAGCTACTCAGGAGGCTGAGGCAAGAGAATCGCTTGAACCCGGGAGGCGGATGTTGCAGTGAGCCGAGATCACGCCACTGCACTCCAGCCTGGGTGAAAGAGCGAGACTCCGTCTCAAAAAAAAAAAAAAAGGTGTTGATCCTTAGGTAAGAAGCTTCAGGTGAAAAAATAAGTCACCTAACCTGAAAGTCACCGTATTTCAAGAAGAAGAGAGAACTACCAACTTACATGGACCATGTTTCTAGAATTACAAAATTGGTCAATCTTCCTTGGGCTTCTTCCCTGGAAAACAACAAGAAACAAAAGGCCATAAGTCAAGCTGTGTCCCAAAGCACTAGAGCAAATAACTATTTTATTCTCCATTCCTATTTCTCAACTACTCCTGTTAACACGCACACTTCCCCGCCTCCCCCATCACTCCCTTTTCCCCTACACACACTCTCTCACAAATAAACTGGCAGCGAACAGGTGGAGTGTGGATGAAACCAAGCTCTCGCCTACATCCCAGGGAACCTGCGGCAGAAGCATGATTGCCCAGCACAGGCATTTCAGCCTTGAAGTTGCTCAAAAGACACTCTAGCAGGAGGGCTTCCAGCCAGTCCTCCAGTCTGGGGATACCTATCTTGGCTTAGGACTGGGCCTCTGATCCTGCTGTAAGCAATCCTCCCCTAGCCCCACCTTTCAGAGCTGAGAAGGGATTGCGTCTCCAATCCAGAACCTCTCTGTGAACTCAGGATTGGGTGCAGTGGGGCAAGGCATGAGAACTGGAAAGGATATAGACAGAATTGCATGGGCAGTGTTCAGCATTCTGAGCTCACCAAAAGCCAGCTGGTTAAGTACAGTTCAGAATAGCCATGTAATAGAATACGAAGTACTCATTAAATGTTCCAGACATACAATTAACAGAAAAATCAGGTTACAAAGCAGGATAGGCCGGGCGCGGTGGCTCAAGCCTGTAATCCCAGCACTTTGGGAGGCCGAGACAGGTGGATCACGAGGTCAGGAGATCGAGACCATCCTGGCTAACACGGTGAAACCCCGTCTCTACTAAAAATACAAAAAACTAGCCGGGCGCGGTGGTGGGCGCCTGTAGTCCCAACTACTCGGGAGGCTGAGGCAGGAGAATGGCGTGAACCCGGGAGGCGGAGCTTGCAGTGAGCTGAGATCTGGCCACTGCACTCCAGCCTGGGCGGCAGAGCGAGACTCCGTCTCAAAAAAAAAAAAAAAAAAAAAAAAAAAAAAAAAAAAACAAAGCAGGATAGACAAAATGATTACATTTTTAAAATATATGTATAAATATTAAGCAAGAGACTAATAGACATCAATAGAAAAAAATTTAGACAGGCGTATGCATGCTAACAGTACTTATCTCTGTGTTGTAGCCCCAATTTTCTTCTTTTTGCTTAAGAGTACTTCATAATTGTGACTATGCCCAGGCATTAAGTTGGAATATATAATTATATTCTCTCTCACACACACACATATATATATACACACACACACGTGTATGTATCTGTATATGTACATATTTAAATGTACCTACACATTTTTTTTTTCCTGTGAGGAAATTGTTCTCCAAATTAGATGAAAGACACCTTTTATTTAGACATCTTCCTTTCAACTTGGGGACAAAAAAAGGAAACTCTACTGAGCTCTTGTTTTTATGTAATAAGTTTGCATCCATTATTTCCCAATTCTTGACCAACACTAAGATGTCTATGTTTTTCTACGTATGTTAGCACAATTTCTAAAACAAAAAATTGCCTACAAGTCCCCAATCAATGTCTTGTATGCATTAATGATGGTCATATTTCTACATCCGAATTCAAAAATAAAAATAAAACAGAGTTATCAGAGAGTACTTTTAATCATAAAAAACAAAAAACTGAGCCTGTCATGAGGATCAACAGAAAATATTAATGTGACTATAACAAATAACATCAGCTAGTTCTGACATCCTTTAGCTGTATCTCACCAATATAATTAGACATTTTCATTATCAAGACTCTTCTCTGAATGAACACAATGCAGATACGTGGCATCTGGAAACTACATGAGAAAATCTGTGGAATAGACATCATCATGCTTGGGTTCCCTTCTTCACCAAATAACTCATTAAAATACCACTTTGTATATAATTCCTACAGAATGCCTTACAAAAACCCTATCTTAGTATATGGGATTCATATACATGTAACATTTTCGTGAGCATTATTGTTCATAGCATGAATACTGCTTAATGGTATATCAAATATTTCTTTCCATAATTCTTTATAGACATCATTTTATTAGCTGCATAATACTCTATCACTTTAGTATAATTTGCTTAGTGATTTCCGTATTACAGGACACTTAGTTTATGAGAGATCATTTACAGTGTCATTCCAGGTATCACAGTCTTTTGATTCTAGACTAAGGTTTTTCACCCTAGGCACTACTGACATATTGTGGTGTATAATCCTTTGTTGGGGCTGTGGGGAAGGTTATCCTATGCACGGTACAATGTTCAGCAGCATCCCTGACCTCTGTCCACTAGATCTAAGTAGCACCTCCCCCACAGTGTGACAACCAAAAGTTCTTAAACATCATCCCTGCTGAGAATCAATGTTCCATCTAGATCAATGGATCCAAGCCTCATGGGTCACATACAGTTTTGATAGTCTTGATATGATATACTATTTCTCCCTCTACATTGATACATTTCCATAGTACTTCAATATATTATTTCAAGAGCTTTGTGGTCCCCAAGAGCGTAAGTGGAGTTACAGGAACTCAGGTTAAGAATTTCAGTCCTACATTCTTTACAGAAATAGAAAAAAAAAAAAAAATCCTAAAATTTGTATAGGACCACAAAAGACCCCAAATAGTCAAAGCAGTCTGGAGCAAAAAGAACAAAGTGGAGGCATCAAACTACCTGACTTCAATATATACTACAAAGCTACAGTAACCAAAACAGCCTGGTACTGACATAAAAACAGACACCTAGGCAAACGGAACAGAATAGAACGCTCCAGAATAAATTCATGTGTTTACAACCAACTGATTTTTGAGACAGGTACCGAGAACATACAATAAGGAAAAGACAGTCTCTTCAATATATACTGTTGTAAAAACTGGGTAGTCATACACAGAAGAATGAAATTAGACCCTTTTCTCAAACCATTATACAAAAATCAACTCTAAATGGATTAAAGATTTAAATGTAAGATCCCAAACTATGAAACAAATAGAAAAAAACGTATGGGGAAAGCTCCATGACATTGACCTGAGCAATAATTTTTTTTTTTTTTGGAAATGACGTCAGAAGCACAGGCAACAAAAGCAAACATAGACAAATGAAATTACATCAAGCTAAAAAAGCTTCTGCACAGCAAAGTGAAGAGACTACCTACAGAATGAGAGAAAATATTTGCAATAATGTATCTGATAAGGGGTTAATATCCAAAATGTGTGAGGAACTCAACAGCAAGAAAACAACCCAATTAAAAAATGGGCAAAGGACCTGATAAACACATCTCAAAAGATGACATATAAATGGCCACAGTGTATGAAAAAATACTCAACATCACTAATCATCAGGGAAATGAAATTTAAACCTACAATAAGATATCACTTCATATGTATTGGGGTGGCTATTGAAAAGACCTAAGTTAACAAATGTTGGTGAGAATGTAGAGAAATGTGAACCATTGCACACTGTTGGTGAGAATGTAAAGTGACACAGACATTATGGAAAACAGTATGGAAGTTCTTCAAAAAAATTAGAACTAGAACTACCATATGATCCAGCAATCCACTACTGGGTATACATCCAAAGGAAATGAAATCTGTATGTCAAAGAGACATCTGCACACCCATTTTTATTGCAGCACTATTCACAATAGCCAAGATATGGAATCAATCTAAGTGTCTATCAATGAATGGATAAAGAAAATGTGGCATATATATACAATGGAAAACTAGCTATAAAAAAAGGGAAATGCTGTCATTCCCAACAACATGGATGAACCTGGCGAACATCATATTAAGTGAAGTAAGCCAGGCACAGTAAGACACATGATCTCACTCATCAGTGGAATCTAAAAAAATGTTTATATAGGCCAGGTGCAGTGGCTAACACCTGTAATCCAGCACTTTCAAAAGCAGAGGCGAAGGCCGAGACAGGCGGATCACTAAGGTCCGGAGTTCGAGACCACCCTGGCCAACGTGGCGAAACCCTGTCTCTACTAAAAATACAAAAATAAGCTGAGTGTGGTGGCGCACACCTGTAGTCCCAACTACTTGGAAGTCTGGGGCAGGAGAATCACTTGAACCCAGGAGGCAGAGGTTGCAGTGAACTGAGATTGCGCCACTGCACTCCAGCCTGGGCAACAGAGTGAGACACTCTCTCAAAAAAAAAAAGAAAAAAGTTGCTATCATAGAATTAGAGAAGAGAATGCTGTTTACAGGTTGGGGGTAATGTGGGTGAGGGAGGGAAGGAGGTGTCGGTTGGGGAAATGTTGGTCAAAGGATATAAAATTTCAGGAAGATAAGAGAAATAAGTTCAAGAAATCTATTACACAACAGCATATCTACAATTAATAACTATTCTGTAGTCTTGAAAAATTCTAAGAGAGTGGCTATTAAGTATTCTCACCACAAAAATGATAACTATGTGAGCTAATGCATTGCTAATTAGCTAGATTTAATCATTCCACAGTGTACATATACTATAAAACATCATGTTGCACACGATAAATACATACAATTTTATCTGTCAATTTAAAAAGAATTTCTGTCCTAGATCATCTGAGCAACTCATTTTCTTACTATGCAAGCAGCAATCACAACGAATCACACATTCCCAATGCTCCTGTCCTATAGACAGTCAAGGGAAATGACCTAAAATGGCCACACGAAAACAAAAGTTAAACATTAAACATTTATTATTATATGCCTAGCACTGCTCTAAGAGGCTTTACAGTATTCATTCATTCTAATGTTCATTACAAGTCCGAGAAGACCAGAAACGGACAGAACAAACATTCCAACCCAGATACTCTGGATCCACTCCCCTATTCTTAACCACAATAGTGTACTGCCTCTCACAGTCCACACACGCAAATAGCCCAAAACGCAAGTGGAACTGCCAAACCTCAGAGAGATCTGGCAGTAATTACAATGATAATCTCATGGACCCTCCCAAACAAATCCTGACTCTTGATACCAATTTCTGTGCAATCACTTTCCGACTCCTGAAAGCCTCACAGAGGAAATCACCCAACCATCTCCATTCTTCCCTGCTTTGAAAAGGAGACCTGTAAAGACAATCAGATACCCGGTGTGCGATTCCACAAACTAATCTTCTTACCAAAGCAGAGTCTAAAATAAAGCGTTAATATAAATCTCTGGAGGACTATTTTTATACCAGCTTAGAAGAGAGCGCACAGGAAGGTGTGAATGATTTGCCAAATGGTTCTGTGAATATTAAGTGTAAAAGTGGGGAGAGGGCGGGGCGGGGGCGACACGATGGGAGGGGGCAAGAACAATTTGCATATTCTCCTGAAATTCACTAACAATTTACAGGAACTTCTTTTTTTTTTTTTTTTTTTGACGGAGTCTCGCTCTGTTGTCGCCCAGGTTGGAGTGCAGTGGCGCGATCTCGGCTTACTGCAAGCTCTGCCTGCCGGGTTCACGCCATTCTTCTGCCTCAACCTCCTCTGCCTCAACCTTTGAGCAGCTGAGACTACAGGCGCCCACCACCACGCCAGGCTAATTTTTTTTGTTGTTGTATTTTTAGTAGTGACGGGGTTTCACCGTGTTAGCCAGGATGGTCTCGATCTCCTGACCTCGTGATCCGCCCGTCTCGGCCTCTCAAAGTGCTGGAATTACAGGCGTGAGACACGGCGCCTGGCAGGAACTTCTATATTCTGAAATCAAAAACGCATGTCTTAAACAAATACAAAGCACAAACTCACCCTTGACTTAAGTGTGCAGCAATAACGCTCTCATCCTCCTCCCGGTCCTTCTTTTGGATAATGGTACGACTGGGAAAGGATACGGCAAGCGTGAGACTCTAGGCTTTTCTTGGAGCGCAGACTAAGTTTGAAAGCACCCTCCATGGCCACAACTGCCCTCACTTCGTACGAAATGAGAAGGAAATAAAAGGAGGAATCGGTCCGAATTCGAAGCTGGTTCCTGGAGACAGATATCTGAAGGGATGCTGGGTTCTCAACATGTAGCTGCCCTCCTGGGGGACTCTCAAGAGACACTTCCAGCTCTCAAATACCCACCCCGAGTCCAGATCTGCGCCTTCTTATGCAAAGCTTCATTCTCGGCTCAATATCTGACCTCCCTACTGGGGCAATTCCTCTGCTGCAGCCTCCGCAGCTTTGAAGGGGAAAGACGGAGGAAGCAGCAGGAGCCTAGTACCACTGCACAGTGACACTCACACAGCCCCAGCAAAATGCACTGCGTCCACAAGCCCTCCCGGTCCTGTGCACAGGGCCTCACGCACACACTCACACAGTCCCTTCCGTCACTCAAGATCACACAATCCCCCTCGTCTGATGCCCGCGCACACGCACGCCTAGGGATCTGGCAGATTCCGTCTGCGCCCCGGGTTCCTCTGAGCGACTCGCCCTCGCCCACCCGCACTGCCGGGTCGGTCAGGTTCGAGTCCCAGTCCACGAAGACCTCCCGCAGCCACCGATTTCTTCTTAGGACGTGAAGACCTTACCCAGCTAAGTCGTCAACCCCTGGAGGCCGGAAGTGGAACCGTTAATTCCGGTGCGGTGGCCTCTGGGAAATGCAGTCCTGAGCAGAAAGCGCCTCAGAAGCCTTGGGCTCTAGTCAGTTCAGGTTGATCCCAGCATACACTGGAGGCTCCTAAGAGAGCCGAGCCTTATGGATTTGTGGGAGTTCCAGACCGTGGGGTGCAGAGGTTGCGGCCCCGAGCGAGGATCCCCGTCTGAGAGAAGCGTTGCTCTTCTCGGTGAGTCAGTGTAAATTACCTTTTCTCTCCACGCAGAAGAATGCAAATAAGCAGAACTTTTAAAGAAGAATTTAAAGTAAAATTACGTCAAGATGTAGCTGCTTTGACCTCTTCGTCTCAGATCCCAGCATAGGCTTCCACTTTGTGCTGTTTGAAGGGACTTAGGATAAATTTGAAAAACTTGAACTAAAGAAATGGTTGGAGAGGCCGGGCGCGGTGGCTCACGCCTGTAATCCCAGCACTTTGGGAGGCCGAGGGGGGCAGATCACGAGGTCAGGAGTTTGAGACCATCCTGGCCAACATGATGAAACCTCGTCTCTACTAAAAATACAAAAATTACCTGGGCGTGGTGGCGGGCGCCTGTAATCCCAGCTGCTCGCGGGGCTGAGGCAGGAGAATTGCTTGAACCCGAGAGGCGGAGGTTGCAGTGAGCTGAGATCACGCCACTGCACTCCAGCCTGGCGACATAGCGAGACTTCATCTCAAAAAAAAAAAAAAAAAAAAAAATGTTGGTTTTACTAGAAGAGGAAGTGTGGTTTACATGAGAGATTTCAGAATCAAATATACTTGATTCTTAAAGACAATCTTCCTGTTATCTGGAGAGAAAAACGTGATTCAGGACGGCATGGAAATGGATAAAAAAGTACACAGAGAATTACTTGCCTTATCTTGAAGGATGAATAATTAACACATTTTCTTAAAATAGTCTAAACAAATGCCAAAGGGGGCTTGTTTTTTGCAGGAAGAGCTCGATTTCACTGTTGTAATCTAGCAAAATTTAACTTTCAAAATGATTTTTGTAGTTTCCTATGCTACATAAGGAGGAAACATGGAATAATAAAGAGCAAAATGTCTTTTCATTCCCGACTGTGACAGAAAACAAATAGCAAGATAACAAACTTAACTCTACCAATAATCACATTAAATGTAACTGGTTTAACACCTTAAGAAGGTTGTCGGGTTGGATTTTTTTTTAAAGTCAGACCCAAATACGTGCTACCTACAGGTAATACTTTAAATATAAAAGCACTAATAGGTTAAGAATAAAATGATGGAAAAATATATACCATCCTAACACTAGTCAAAAGAAAGCTGGAGTGGCTATATTAAAAACAAAGTGACTTCAACAAAAAGACTGTATCAGGGATAAAGAAAGTTACGTCATAATAATGATGAAGGATACAGTTCTCCAGTGGAAAGAACAAACCTAAATTATGCCCTTAATAATACAGCTTCTAAGTATGTGAGTAAAAACCTGTTAAATTAATAAAGTGACAGACAAATCCACAATTACAATCAGATATTTCAACATATCTCTCTTGGTAATTGATAGAACTAACACAGGAAAGCAACAGGGTATAGATTATCTAAACAACATATCAACCTGCTTGATCTCATTTACACTTCTGGAACGCTCTTCTCAAAGACAGTAAAATTCATCTTAGGTGGACAGGGGACAGTTAGCAGCATATACCATATTCTGGGCCATAAAACAAGTCTCGATAAATGAGTAAATGGACTCAAGTCATACAAAGCATGTTTTTGACAAAAATGGAATTAAATTAGAAATCAATAACAGCTCACTATATATTGTTCAAAGTAGTAAAAATTTGAAAATGTATGAATACTATGATAATTGAAATTATATAATGTTTGAAAGTTTCCTTTATGAATCATAATTTTCTGTTATATCCTAAAGGGTAAACAATAACATATTTGCATTAAAACAAAATAATGTTTTGTAGTAAGGAAAAAATTTTAAGCTATCTATACTGACTATACATTAAAGAGCAGAATAATTATTTTTGGTATATATTCCAATGCTTTAATCAGTTTCTTAGCCAGTATCACCATATTTTTAAGGACATTTTTTCAATGCAGTCTATTTTTTTAAACTTTGATAAAATTGTATGCACTCTTCAACGTTGGACTTTATGGTTAATAAACTTGAAATTATAACTACCTTCAAAAGGCACTTCTCTGAACACCATATCTTTTAAATTGAGATATATACTCTGCATATACTAAGGTAATCAGAAGTCTTAGAATATATCCAATGAAATGGAAGATATCCTCATGAGTATTGTGAATATGGAATACTAGATTGCAAATATTTTAGCAGTTGTTGTATTTTGCCTTCACAGTACATCTCTATTTTTTTTTTTTTTTTGCCACTTAGTCTAGGAAGGGTACATTTATTTAAAAATTATTCCTAAAGCCAAACAAATTGGCTCAATTTATGATACCTTTGAATGTTAAGCCAAATTTAGGTGTTACAGAAATATAAACCTTCTCAATAGAATTCCATTCTAGCACAAATTGTAAATGTATCCAGTTAAAAATGGGAGCACCATCAAAAGACTACTGCCATAGCTGAAGAAATTCCTATGCAAAATTGAAGAATTTCAAAATTAAATCCTGTATATAATATGTTATTTCATTACTTCATTCAGCTTCTTCCTTAATTTGTAGAACTAAATCCCATTGTCTTCATGTTGGCAAGTTCTGACAACTGAAACTCTGTTGAATTTCTATACTGAATAGTAGTGAGGATAGATGATATCACTGTTCTGTGCCAAATCACCAGAATCTTAAACAACCAAAAGGTCAAAGAACAAATAAAAAGAGAATTTAGAAAACATTTTAGATAAATACAAATAAAAACACATGTTACTAAAGTTTATGAGATGCTTACTACTCAGGGAAAAATTTATAGCTCTACATGCCTATATAAAAGAGGAAAGATGTCAAATCAATGACCTAACTCTATACATTTAGGAATTAGAATATGAAAAATAGAAAAAAAAAAACAAAGTCAGGAGACGAAAGGAAATAATAAAGATAACAGGGGGGTTAGATTAAATATAATAGAAAAATAATAGAGAAAATTTACAAAATTAAAAGTTGGTTCTTTGAAAAGATCAAAAAAGTGGCAAAACTATAGCAGGATGGCACAAGAAAAAAGAGAAAACACCAAAATTACTAAAGTCAGAGCTGAAAGTGGAGACATTACTAACCTTACAAAAATGAAAATGATCATAGAAAAAAATGATAAACAATTGTATGTCAACAAAATAACCTAAATAACCGAAAAATTCCTAGAAACACACAAACTATCACTGACTCAAGAAAAAATAGAAAGTCTTAACAGGGAGTGATGTCAGCAAGATAGCAGAATGGAACTTTCCAGCACTTAGCTCTCACAGAAACATCAATTTAAACATCTATCTATGCATGAACAAACTTTCACAGGAGCTAAAGAATCCAAGTTGCTCACTCAGAGGGGATGGGAATGAAGCAGCTAGTAGACAACTGTCTCTGAGATAGCACAAATGTTGGATTTAGCAAAGATCTGAAAGCAACTATTTTAATTATGTTCAAAGAACTAAAACAAGCCGTATGTAAAGAATTTAAAGAAGAGTATGACAATAATGTCCTGCCAATCAGAGACTATCAATAGAGAGACGGAAATTATTACTGCAATGAAAGCACTAAGTAGAAATTCTAGAGTTGAAAAGTACAATAACTAAAATAAAAAATTCACTAGAACTCAATAGCAGATTTAGCCCAATAAAAGAATTCATAAACTTGAAAATAGGCCAATAAAATTATGCAGTCTGAAGAACAGAAAGAAAAAAAGAAGAAATAAAAATGAAGAAGGCCAGGCATGGTGGCTCACACCTGTAATCCCAGCACTTTGGGAGGCAGAGGCGGGCAGATTACTAAGTCAGGAGTTCGAGACCAGCCTGGCCAATATGGTGAAACTCTGTCTCTACTAAAAATACAAAAATTAGCTGGGTGTGGTGGTGGGTACCTGTAGTCCCAGCTACTCAGGAGGCTGAGGCAGGAGAATTGCTTGAACCTGGGAAGCGGAGGTTGCAATGAGCTGAGATTCCACCACTGCACTCCAGCCTGGGTGACAGAGAAAGACTCCGTCTCACAAAAAAAAAAAAAAGAAAAAAAGAAGAACGCCTCAGAGATATGTAGTATACCAAGAAAAACACCATCATACATATGGCAGGAGGGACAGAAGGAAAGAAAAAGGAATAATGCTTGAAAAATAATGACCAAACTCTTTGCAAAGTTGATCACTCACACACACACACCCTCATATACTTAGAATACAAAATGTGAACACACTCCAAGAGAATTGCAGATAAAAACTTAAAAAGTATTTGTTGCCAGTAGACAGTAGACTTTCATAATAAGAAATATTAAAGTTCTTTGGGATGAAAGGTGACACCAGATGGTAACTTGAATCCACACAAAGAAATAATGAGCAGTGATTAAAGTCATTACATAGGTAAATAAAAGATAATATACACTTTTACCCTTTTACTTTAACTGATTAAAGATAACTGCATAAAACCATAATTTTACAATTGTTTTGTTCATAATGTATAAAGTTGTCATTTGTGTCACATTTGTATTACTATAATAGCACAAAGGAAGGGGAGGAAGGGATCTATATTGCAGCAAACTTTCTATATACTATTAGTATTATTTAATCTATTTTGATTAAAATTTTATTTCTAATTTTTTGTGGAGACAGGGCCTCACTATATTGCCCAGGCTGGTCTTGAACTCCTAGCCTCAGGCAATCCTCCCACCTCGGCCTCCCAGAGTGCTGGGATTACAAGTGTGAGCCACCATGCCTGGCCACTGTTAATACTATATTAGTAACAATATCAATTAGATTTTTTAAAGCTAAGATGTATATTAGGTTTTTTT